AGCCATACAGTGAGTGGCAGACAAGACCCCTTGCACAACCACTTTCCCCACCTCCCAGTCATTCCCAATTTGCTCCTTGTGAGTCTAGCCTTCCCCATCTGGGGGACTTGCTTCTCACCATTCCCAGCCAGCATGGACGGTGGGGATGATGGGAAGCTGAGTCCAACCTTAGGAGGGCCTGAGGCTTTCCTTGACATTCGTGAGCAGCTCTACAGTGGAGGGGAGACACTGTGTCTCTTAGGCCTCACTTTGCCACTGACAGCTTCTGGCACACTTACCACCACATCAGATCTGGGGAGGGGTGGTAGATTTCTCAAGTTGTATTAGCATTATTCAATCAAAAACTTCCTTGGTCTGAGGGAGAAAAGAAATCCGTGTGCATGCCTTGGAGCTTTTCCAGAACTACCTGAACCATACCTTGCTCCAGCCTTAGCATAAGTCATTGGCGGGGTCTGTGGGTGCGCTTAGGCTAGAAAGCTCTTCTCGAACTCCATCTCCTCCCTAGCTCTCTGGTGGAGGAAAAAAGCCTCTTGACTCCAAGAGGCCTTATTGAAATCATAGGCTTCCTTTGCCGCATTTATTAAACTTTACAATTTGACATGGTTTCGCTCTCAAAAAAGTCCTGAATCCCTTTGGGTGGAGATGCAACCGTAAAACTGCCTAAATCAAATGAAATCTCAAAAGCCTTTTGAGCTGGGGCAGCCACTGAATTTGGGGAGTGGAGAATGTGCTTGCAACCCTGCTCCCCCAACAAGGCCCTCTGCAGCCAAGAGAAAGCTCGCTTCTCAGAAACATGAAAGCCAGGTATAAGAACTGATCACGGGTGATCTTTGATCTTTTCTGAGCAAAGGTCTCATTTGCCTCTTCTAACCCCCAGGGACACGCTGCAGCTTTATGGAGCAGGAGCCGGAGGTACCAGGAACATTTCCGGCACCAGCCGATTCCACGTGGCTCTGGAGGAGGAGCTGGCCAGCTTGCATAAAAAAGATGCTGCTCTGCTCTTTTCCTCCTGTTTTGTGGCCAATGACTCTACTCTCTTCACACTTGCCCGCATGATGCCAGGTAACCAGGCAGTACAGGAGACTTAGGATCAGCTGGAAGTGAAGACATCCGTCCTCCCTAGCTTGTGGGAAGAGGAGAGACGGGGTGTTACTCTTGGCTTGGTTTCTCTCCCGCAGGATGTGAGATCTATTCAGATGCTGGGAATCATGCCTCCATGATCCAGGGCATCCGAAACAGTGGCGTTCCAAAGTACGTGTTTCGGCATAACGATCCCCACCATTTGGAGGAGCTCCTGCGCAAGGCCAAACCCAGCACCCCAAAGATTGTCGCCTTTGAAACTGTGCACTCCATGGACGGTAATTGCCTCTCTTTAGGTTTTGCAACGTGTTGTCCTAATAACTTCATAAAATGCCATCATGCATCAGAACCAGGGTCTCCGGGTATAAGCAGACCAAAAGCACTTCCTTCTTCCTGAACCAGCTCAGGTTTCTTGGCCAGTTTCCAACAACAAGGTCGGGGAAAAGTGGCGGGTCACAGGAGAGGAGTAAAGGAGGTACTAGATGAACAGTAAAAAACAGGGACTCAATCAAGAGTCTTGCACAACAAGAGGGGAGCTAACCATTCTGCAAGCAGAGACAGCCAGTAGGCTAACACAGGACTGCAAAACGTGTGGTCCAGGTAACAGCCGAAATCTGCTTTCTTCAATAGTCCTTTGTCTGCAGGTGCCATCTGCCCCCTGGAGGAGATATGTGATGTGGCCCACCGGTATGGCGCCATCACTTTTGTGGATGAGGTCCATGCTGTGGGACTCTACGGGGCCCACGGAGCCGGCATTGGAGAACGTGATGGAGTGATGGGCAAAATAGACATCATATCTGGCACTCTGGGTGAGTTGGGGGAGCAAAGGGTTAGACCAGACAGAAGGTGTATTATACTCTACTTTAAGATGTCTGGACTTCAACTCCCAGAATTCCCCAGCCAGCTCTGAATGTTGAAGTCCAGACATCTTAAAGCTGCCAGGGTTGAGAAACACAGCTCTAAGGGAACCCTACTGACTATTAAAAAACTGGCCATCTCGAGACCCAAAGGGGGTGAGTTCCATTGGTTGCTGCAAGAATTTGGCCCCTGAATTTCTCCTTGCCTTATTCAATCATAAGGAGGAAAAATGCAAGACATACAATCTGTTCAGTTTGCATACTGTATGCAAGTTTCAGAGTCCAGCTTCCCAGAAGTCACAGAAGCCAGGGTGCAAGGGTTTTTTTTAAAAATGGCAATGCACGAATCATTCTTTTTAATGCCAAATACACTTAATAGCATAAGGTATGCTTGCCGTTAAAGCTCCTAGACATTTTTTCCCTCCCTTTCTCTTCCAGGAAAGGCCTTCGGCTGCGTGGGTGGCTATATTGCCAGCACCGCTTCCCTCATTGACACTGTGCGCTCCTATGCAGCTGGATTCATTTTCACCACTTCGCTGCCCCCCATGGTATTGGCCGGGGCCGTGGAATCCGTTCGCATCCTGAAGAGTCCCGAGGGGCAGGTGCTGCGCCGTGCCCACCAGCGCAACGTCAAGCACATGCGCCAGTTGCTTATGGATGCCGGGCTGCCTGTGGTCAGCTGCCCAAGTCACATCATTCCCATTCGGGTATGGATGCCCCGGGAAGGTGGCAGGGAGAAGTGAGGGCTTTAGTACAATAGACACAGAATCTGGGACACGGTCCTCAAGGTGAAGGGCTTAAATCCCACCGATTCCACATCATTAGGTCCTGGCGACACACACACCCCTTTATAGAATACCAAAGATGAAATGAATGAATGAATGGGACTGAACAGCTGCAGAATCCTGACCAATCACAGAAGGGGAACCCGGGACATCCCAAATTCCCTATCCCTGACTTACCAGAATGATAGACAGATGAAGCAGCTGGATACTCTCCTCAGTTATCTGGTTCATTCTTCCCCAGGTTGGAGATGCAGCCCTGAATACCCAGCTTTGTGACCTGCTCCTCTCCAAGTACAACATCTACGTCCAGGCCATCAATTACCCTACTGTGCCTCGCGGGGAGGAGCTGCTGCGGCTGGCCCCCTCGCCCCATCACACCCCACCCATGATGGACTACTTTGTGGGTGAGTCTCCAGTGCCCTGAGCACTAAGGCCCCAGCTCTATCCTAAGTAAAGATCATCATCTCATTCTATAAATTAAACGCTAATAAGGGCAGGATTAAAACTCCCCAGTTCTTCTTAAACTCTCTATAGAAAAGAAGGCACTTAAGTAGTAATTAAGCTATGATTATTTCTGGTCATTACATGCCCAATGCAGCTGCCCTTTAGGATGGCATAAAACAGAACTGAAGTCTGTTGGATTAGAGTAGGGAAATACAAAGTTCCCTCTACAGTTTTCACCAAGTTAAATATGGTTTGTCTAAAGGAGCCGGAGACATGCATTACAGTCTGAAGCTGGTTTGGACAAACAACAGCTAAAACTAACTGCAGTTTCATCATGGGTTGGCTATGAAAAATAACTAGTGAAAATTGAGGCAAATTATTCTGATCTCCCATCTTGAATTTTATCACCAGGTTTGCGGTAAAGCAAATTCACAGCAAACAAAATTAAAACCTTGCACCATAGAAGAAATAGAAAAACTAGATTCTGGAAAACCTATACATTATGTAAATTAAGAATCTCAAATGAGACCAGGAACAGAATATTGGAGCATGGCGTTCTCTGATTTATAGTTCTAAGCAGATGCACGTAGATCCTCTTTACTTCGTGTGCCTGCTCACCTTGTTCTGCTTTTTTCAACCCAATAGTTAATAACCACCAAATGCAGATGAAGTCTGCTCAGTCCTCAGTAAATTGCTTTGAGCGGGCTTCTAAAAATTGTGCTTCTGAAAGTCCAAAGTTGATCCTGCTGGTATATCTTGCCCAGTCTTGTAAAAGACTGACAATAGAAAGGATTCAGTGCCTGCCTTCTGATCACTGGAATTCTCTATTCCTCTTTTCTGAAAGTTACTTTACATACTGTACATGTAGATTTGTTAATAGCTATTCACCTATGGTAAGTACTGCCACCAAGTGGCCAGTGCAGGAATGTTTTTAAGTCCCTGAACTCATAAATAGCTGGGGGTACTTCTGGGGAGTCTTAAAAAGATCCTCAGATACTAAAAACTCTTTAAATATTAACCCGTATTTTTAAAAGAAATGTTTTATTAAAAGAAAGATATTTTTATCTTTTTATCATTAAAAGGAAATTCAAAAGCAGAATAAAATAACAAAGAGCTGAAACTTATCCTCTGCTGCTACAGACAGTCTCAAACTCATAGTTCTGCCTATAAATGGTAATTAGTAGGAAGCAGCCTTCAGTACCGGGAGAGATTTGACTCTTTTCTCACATTGTGGGTTTCAACAAGGCCAGTGACTTCCCCTCATCTTTAGCTTCTACTTCAAGGCCATTCATTCGGTTACTTCTAGCTCCAGAGGCCACCGTGTAGCTCCAATGGTCCATTCAGCATCAAAGCAGAAGCCTGCTTTTTAACCTCTCTCTGTTTTACTTCCTTCCAGAAAAACTTCTGGCTGCTTGGCAAGAGGTGGGCCTACCCCTGCAGGCCGCAACCTCTCCCGAGTGCCACTTCTGCCACCGCCCACTTCATTTTGCCCTCATGAGTGAGTGGGAGCGGGATTACTTCGGCAACATGGGGCCCCGCTATGTCACCCTTTGTGCCTAGGGAGCGCCCCGGGCCACAGGGTTGACACTCGCTGCCTGATGGGAAGAGAGACAAGCATGCCTCACGCCAACGCCACTGAGCAGAAAAGAGATGATCTGAATGCAATAAAGCTCTGAAACTGTGCCTTTTCTGCAACTTCATAGATCTGAGAATTCAGGCTGACAAGCTTCCTCTAGCTGGCAGCCTTTTGCACCCCAGACCAAGATAGGAGTCAGTGGGGCTGAGTTCACATATTACATTGAGCCCTGGTTTACAGAATAAGTCACAATTGGCTGAGTACAAACAACACACTAAGCTGTAATTCAGCTTTCCAAGGAACACTGTAAAAGGCTCGCACAGCACACTCCCTTTTTCCACATGATCGCTTCCTGGGCTGCCCACTAATAGGAACATCCAAAACAGAAGGCCTGTGCAGGATCAGCAGATAACCAGGTCAGGAGAAAACAGAGCAGGAAGAATGGGGAGTACTAGTTTCAACGTACTGGGAAAGTAGGCAGAACTTTGTTTTCAAAACTAAAACTGAGTTTGACCCTCCTGAAGTTTGACCATGATTTATTTCCTGTTGGCCTCTAGTTGAAATTCTCTGGGCAACAGCAGAACAGGAGTTTGGAAGCACCAGAACAAGCCTGCCAATTTCTACAACTACCGCCGACAAGACTTCCAAGCGTCACCTATTCTTTTTTTCAGAGAAGGGCGTTTGTTTGTTTTACCAAATATCTTTATTTTATCAAATGTTTTTAAAAACTTGTTTTCTCAAAAGGATAGTCATTTCCCAGCAATGACAAAGATTTTAGTTTTTTAATGAGGCACAGGGAAAACAGGACTGAGATCAAAGGTTCCAAGAGTCCTCTCAGAGGTTCCTGCAATATAAAAGAGACAAGTTGAGCAGAAAAATCTGCATCCTTGGCCTCATGCAGCACCTTGGAGTTGCTCATCCCAAATCAGAGTGGCCTGCATGGGCAGCTCAAAAGGGGGTACATAGCACCCAAAACACAAATCAGATTCAACCTCCCCTTGCTCTGCTCAGGGAATGGCCTAGCTGGCCCACAGGAAGTAGTCACACCGTGCACGGGGATCGGAGGGTTTCCCCAGAGGCCGGGCACAGACAAAGAAGCGTCGTCCACAATTTGGCCCTTGTTTCTTCACTGTCCGCAAAACACAGGGCTCCTTGTGGGCCTTGCAGTGAGGTGGGTGTGCAGGGCCGGGTAGCAGTGACTTCCACAAAGCAGACTGATTTCGCATGGACGGAAGTGTGTCTTTCTCACAATTCATAGTTTCCTTGCTGGTCACACCCTTAGAGGATTCCTTCTTTGGACTCCCAACAGGTGCCTGGGTTACCCCTGAGACTTCCTCCACCCCACATTTGTCAGCTGTCCTTTCAGCGTTCTCCATAGGAGGCTCTTTCCCAGAATCTTCTGCTGCCCTTTGGGCCACATTCAAAACCGCCTGGCACCTTCCACCATCCATAGGCTCAGCACCCAAGTTCGGAGCTCTGAAGAAGCTACGCAAATCCCCTTGCCCTTTCTGGGCTGGGCCAGTCCGTCTTTTCTTCGAACCCCCCAAGGGACTCCTCTCAGCTTTGCTCCGTTTCTGCCCCTTCTCAGGCAGACTGTTCTGTTCCACTTTTACCAGAAAGCGGCTGAGCTTCTGTTGGGTGCCAGCAAACTCGGGCAGGAAACGGGTGCAGAGCAGAGGACACCGTGGGGCAGCCAGGCAGATGCTTTTCAGCACAGCCTGGACAGGGCAGTGGTCAGAGCCCAACACTTCTGGCATGATCTGGGCATCGGTCAGTTCCAACAATGCCAGAGCACGGTCAGCCAAGATGTAGTCAATGCGGGTACCATAGTTAAGATGCCGCGATCCTGTTACATTACACCAGCAAGTGTAGGCTTCAGCCTGACTCGGGTTCAGCAAGCGGAAAGTATCCACAAAGAGATTCTCATTTTCAGAGTCTCTGCCAGGCTCCCACAGGAAAGTGTCCAGCCAGCGGCGCCCGGGATGTTCCTGGAAGGATTCCTGCAGGTCAGAATGGAGGCATTAGGGATACATTACCAGATCATCAGGCTACTTAACATCTGTACAGACCTTGTATGAGATTAAAGTGCTTTCCATGTGTCATCAGCTTGGTGCAATATTTTGGTGCCTGGACTTCAAAATGGGAAGGATCACATCACATGTACAGTGGCCCTGGCTGTAAATGTGGGAATATTTTAAGGCTTACAAGATCAGAGTTTCCATCTGCTCCTCAACTCAAAATGGCAGGAAACGGTGCTGTTGGTTTTCAGTAATCATGGCCAGTGGAGTCTCAAGGGCTGGAAAAAGGGCCTAAAGAGTCCTATGCAGCCCTGGGGCTCTAAATTGCCCACCCCTGCTTTATAACAACCCTGTAAGATGGGTCAGCATTACGATTCCATCTAAAGCAAAGAGAAGCTCAGAGAGTGTTATTTGCCTAAAACTACCAAAGTATGGTTATGGGCTCATGTCCTATTTGCTGCAGCTCAAAGACCTTTTACTAACTGTTTCAAAGGATAAGTCCTCATGATGCCCCTCCATCTCATCCCCAGCCCCCATCTGAGGGGAACCTACAGTTGTCTTTCACTGTTTCAATTTACACGTGCTGCTTTCCTCCTCCTCCTGTCCCAAAACTTCCAAAGTGAACATCTAGGGCAGTGTTTCTCAACCTCAGCAACCTTAAGATATGTGGACTTCAACTCCCAGAATTCCCCAGCCAGCCATGGTGATCTAGGATGCCTTAGGGATGAGCCTGGAGATGACACGGACAGGGGCAGCATCTGCTCAGCTGTAACTGGCCCAGAGACAGAGATGCAGAACAACAACACCCCCAGTCCAGCTGTTGGGCACTGAGTCTCCCTAGCCATTTTGGCTTGGGGTGCAGAAGAGAACCAACACCTGGTCCTTCTCTTTTTACACTAGCATATCAAGCTCCCAAGAGATTGATAGAATTGTCAGCCAGGAATCCTGCTATTTTTGGGGTGGGGGTGAGTGTACATGTGTACTGGGGAGTTCATAAAGTGGGGGAAGCTGGTGAGAGAGACACAGACACAAGTATGGAATGGGGAGTGAGAGAGAGAGATGTGGGAAAATCAAATATGATTTTCAGGGGAAATTAGTTTTGGAAGGGAGCAAGGAAAGAAAGATCCAGAACCCTATCTGTACTGAGAGCTTTCTGTTTTCTATTTCAAATCAGGTCTTCTGATTACTCAGGCAGACTTGGGCCATGGGTATATCAATCTTCTAACAGGAGAAACAATTTCATAGATGAAATTGTTCTTCCTTTAGAGATGTTGGGTTCTTCTTGTGTTTTCCATTTGACTTCATTGTCTTTTGAGGGGGAGAGATTAGAGGTGATTAATTAATTGTTTATCATCATCCGAACACCTTCCTAATTTCATGGACCCCCAATACATCTACTCTATGAGCTGTGAAACTGAACTTTCACAACGCTTTCTCAAAATCTGCCCCTGCCCCACCCCCCGATACAGCAGAACTTTCCTGTCCTGTACAGAGAATCTGCTGCCTGGGAACTGGCATCTCACTCACCAAATCTCCTGGATCACAGTGATCGATGGGCCTGTGTGCAGTATTGATGTCTCCCAGAATGACCACATGGCTAGAGGAAGAGAGGAAATGTGCATTATCTTCAAGATCAAAAACTGCAGCTCCATTATAGCGACCGCTGGTGCAAATGAAAAGCAACAACTGATGTCTTAGAAACAGGCAGCTGCAGCATTAAGAAGTATCAGCAAGGAAAAATTCAGTTCCAAGTGCAAGGTAGCTCACTTTGGAGGAAACACTGAACATCCACTTAAACCAAGTGACATCTTTGGTCTGTGTCACAAAGTGTCAGAATGGTCTTCCTGGGCTCCAAATACAACTCTTTCCTACCACTTTCAACCCAGCATTTCTGTTGCTGAAGATGAAAACACTAAACGTGGAACTTTTCATTTACAAAGCATGCCATAACCTCCCCTCCCCCACCCTAATAAATAAAAAGGCACTAAAAATATCCCTGGCCAAACCAAGTAAACAAATAAATATGAAAGTGCTTCAACGTGTTTCTCAAGGTCTTAACTAAACACTCCAAGCAAACTTCTCCAGGACTTCATTCCACCTAGCCACCAACCTTCCTTCACACACACGATGGTGCTCAGTGCACAACACACACAGTTCCTGCTCCAGGATTTCCTTAAGTAGAACAGGCAATTTGCCCACACCACTCGAATCTCAATCTGTACAGATCTGAACAGTCTGTAATGCAAGAAGCCCACTTAGTGAGTTGCATACAACTCAAGACAGATCTGAGATAATCAGGCTTTGTCTTGTATTTCATACTCATTTTGCTCAATTCAGAGGAAAAAAAGGAGCTTGAAAGCTAGCTTGGAAAAGAAGGAAGTCAAAAGGATATTATAGGACGAATATCAGGAGCATGTATTCATTAAGTACTTTAAGTTTTAGCAAACTTTACAATTTTCTCGTAGGATAGATCAACACTGTTCTCCTCTCACTGCACAGAGTAGAAAGAATATTACCTAGCCTAACTCAGAGCAATAACAACAGTTGAATCAAGGATCTCACAGCATGCCACAATGCAAGACAAGAGGCAGAAAGGAATACCTACCCTCCAGCTCTAAGAAGAGCTTCAGCCCGGGCTTGCAAAAGATGGTAGAATTGCAGCTTGAAGTCTCCACGTTCTGGCTTTTCAGGGTCAGCACGGGGGCAATACACATTGATAACAGTCAGCACAGTTTCCTGCTGTTCTGAAGTGCTACAGGACAGAGAAAGCGTAGAGTTCAATCCCCAACCCTCTATGCCAGCATTGGGGAAACTACGGCCCTCCAGAAATTGCTGAACAATCATTTCCACCTAGCCACCAACTAATGCTGGTTGGGGCTGATGGGAACTGATGTTCAACAACATCTGGAGAGCTACAAGTGTCCTCCATGCAATCTCTTGTCTCATGGCTGACACAGGAAGCCACAGAGCATTAAAAAAAAAAAAAGTCCTTTCCCCAAATTTTAGCAAATGTGAAAGAGGTTGTCACATGAAGTGGTGAATTCTCTTTCATTAGAAATTTTCAAACAGAGTCTCGATAGTCATTTGTTAGAGGTGCTCTAGTAGCTCCTGCACTAAGTAGAAACTAGAACAGATGACCTCTAAGATCTCATCCAACTTATGATTCTATAATGAGTGCAAGTATTATAACAAACAGAAGCTTTAAGAATATTCTCAGCTATAGCCTACAAGCATCATGAATTTATTTCAACAGCAAAGATATTTTTCTGTGCTGGCCGTATGGTCAAGACAGAGGGAAATAAATTATTCTTACTCGTTTTAATGTACCTGAGCTTATCAAAGTAAGCATTTTATTACTGGAATTTATTCTTCCTGCAAAGTATAAAAGGCTTTATGCAGAATTCCAGGGTTCTTTACCATCCTAGATTCTGCAGCTAGCATCAGTATTGCTAAGTATAATGAATGTGGGCAGGATATAAATTATGGAATAAATACTTATTACAAGTATTTGCAGACAATCCAATCAGATGGCTTCTTCCTCAATACTTTAACTAACCCTGCAAGAAGATGTATTATCTAAATAATGTCTTCCTCCTTATTAATATATTGGGGAACTGAAAACTACACCATGCCACAGATATCAGCAATAGCATTGCTCTTTCTAAAACAGGGAATTGAGCATTTGCTGCAGAAAAGATCCCATATTTCAGATTTGTGAACAATAATGTTCAGCCAACCTCACCTACTATGAAGAATCCAACCATTTTTAGCCCATATTCCAACCCTACTTTCTGCTACTGGAGGACATTCCAAAAGAAGTAATACTTAGCATTTATACAGCTCCTTTATATAGCTCCACATCGTAAAAACAAGCATCCTGCTGATCCAATTTCCAACACATTTACTCTAGAATTCTGTTTTCAAAGTGTCAACTGGGAAGTCCTCAAGCAAGATATTCCCAACATGCTGCAATTATTGTATTGGCCCTCCACTGCTTTTATGATGTTTTAAGCCACTATATAAGCCACCTTGAGTCATTCTGATTAGGTGACCCTATCGATTGAATCATTATGATGATAATATTAGATGTTTGTCATATATCATGTAGGTTCTGATGCAGTTGTCTGGATTTGCCATTTTGTTTATTTCACTTATTGTATTTCTATTTCTTTTGTTGAATTTACAGTTTTTTGTAAGCTGCCCAGAATCAGCCTGGAGCCAGGTGATGGCAAAGTCGATGTAAATAAATAAATAAATATTATCATTATTATTATTAGTGATGGTGGTATCATTGCAACAACCTCATTCCACTGGTGCTCCCCAGCAAAAAGTACCGCAAAGCAAGTTGCCTTTGAACCTGAAGGTAAGATAAGTTATTATAATTAGAATAGTTTTAATCCCCATAAATGTACAGGTAGTCCCCAGTTTAAGGAGTTCTGTTCCCAAGGTCTGTCCTTAAGTCGAATTTGTATGTCAGCCAGAATAGTATTATAATACTGTATAAGTAGTATTGTGTAATGAACCATTGTGTATTTAACTCAAATCATTTTGTATTTAACTCAAATTTTGCTACAATAGGTTCCGTTCTTAACTATGGGTTGTCCGTAAACCGGGCGTTTTTAACCTGTATCTCTAATTCTTCTACCATGAGCAACATACAGTACAGACTTATTCCATGGGATAATTATGCCTTTTGCGAGGCAGATTCGCTTGGCTGTGCCTACAGTGCCCATATAAAGGAATTCAGTACTGTTAACTAAATCACAACTGGAGAAATGGGAGCCGTTTACTGTTGCACATGTATTATTGAGTTTAGACTGGTGTCAGGAGTTGCTGAGTTCATATTCACGTTTCATGGGGCTGCAACATTCATCAGTAAGACCCATTAAACACTGTGAGATTAACTAGACATACCATACCCAGGCTGCATACCTCCAACTGACTCTCTGCTACCATCTAGTAGCTGTCTGGATTTGTGCAGGCCGATACAATATGCCTAGAATTAACTCCCAAATGCCCAGTTTACAATGAAGGGCTGTGCAGCAATCCAAATTCAAAGTGAAAAGGTGATTCAGAGTATGCATGAGTGTGCCTGTTGGCACCTCCACACTTCCACACCCAGAAACACCCTTTTTCTGGGATCCTCCTGTAGTCTTGCTGTGTGAGCCCAGAAAAAGAGGTAGCTTTTTAAAGCAGGCACTGACAGGTACAAGGAGAACACTCCTGTGTGCCCCAAATCTTCTTTTCCCTTTCAAATCTGGATCACAACACAGCCTTATTAACTACCGCTCTGTTAATCTCCATGTTAGATGAGTTGTCAGCTTCCAGGTGGTTTGCTAAGCCAACATCAACAACAGGTATTCCCTCCCCGCGTTTCTGATTCCTGTCTTTACTGTATGCGGTGGCGAGTGATCACTGCCCGGCCTTCACTGTCCAGGGCCTTGAGTTCATCAGCTGCGAAGTCCTCTGTGTTTCCATAACAACCAACAGCTCCACCGTGCTTGGTAAACAGCCCAGACAAGCCCTCCTCAGCTGCTTCTGGGGTGGCACTGGCCTTACAGAAGGTTGCAACGCCTAAGAAGACAAGAGATTTAAAAGAGATTAAAAAGTTCATCCTTCATCTGGAAGAGCAAAAAGGCCACCTACTGAATCACAGGCCCAGCTTTTTACACTAACCACAAAAATCCTGAATAGCAATCTATATTCACAACGCTATAATACAGCCTTCATAGACTTTAGAGCGGCCTTTGATTTAATCTCCCAGCTTAATCTTTGGCATAAGCTTTGAAACTCCTTTATAGATAGAAGCCTTTTCTGCTTATCTATAAATTATATGACAAGGACAAGGTGCAACCCCCAGGCACATTTAAGCCAAGGAGATTCCTGCTAAAAGAAGAGTTCAGCATGGATGCATTCTGGCACCATCATTATTTAATTATTATATCAATTCTTTAGTTGTCAGGATGAACAACTCTCCTATCATCCCTCAGAACTGGCAGAGAAGCATATAGGTATCCTCTTATATACTGACACTCAAGATGGCAGCAGACACGAAAAACAAGGAAAGCCTTCCAAAAGATCTCTGAACTCAGAAAAAGGTTCCAAGCTCTAATTGGTATGCTAAAGGATGTCAATGAACAGATAGTAGCTAAAAGATCAAAGAAAGAAGGAATATACTAAAATACTGTACAGTAGAGATGTCGACATCCAAGATACCTGAGGAGATACCCCTTACTTACAAAAACCTCTTGTACTAAAACTGAAGTTATAGCAGTACTCCAGTCCTTACCAAGTTGGAAGGCTACAGGAACTGATGGAACCCCCGTTGAAATATGGCAAGCAACAGAAGAAGAATCAGTAAAAGTTCTAACTAAGCTATGCAAGCAAATGTGGAGAACGACAGTGACCAACAGATTGGAAGAGGCCAACCTATACTCCAATGCCCAAAAAGGGAGACTCAACAGTGTGCAAACTGTTGTACAATATCCTTAATTTCACATGCCAGCAAAATAATGCTTAAGATCATTGAACATAGATTAGAGCCCTACATGGAAAAAAAGATGCCGGATGTTCAAGCTGGCTTTAGAAAAGGCCAAGGAACACGAGACGTTTTCAGCCATGCCTTTGAATCATCATTATTTCGTTAAGCAGAGAATGACACTGTTTAAGACACAGCGACCAGAATCAGTTGAGAAGCTGGTAATCCAGGGATCCGCTAGACTTGTCAGACTTGCTAGCCCACCATTACCTGAATAGCCACTGCGAGTGCGGCTGAAACTGAAGTAGGAGCTATAGCCCTCCACTATAGCTAATGGTTCCTCCAGCAGGTCCCCTGAGAACAAAGCAGAATTTTAGTGAGTGAAAAGATCAGGCTAGAGCAGCTTTTCCCAGCTTGGTTGAGCTTCTCTTCCTATAATCCCAGCCAGCAAGACCATCAAGCATCAGGCTAGAGATAGACTAACCAGAACTATAATCCACACACACATACACAATCACACTGCTTTTCTTTCACAGTTTTTAAAAAAGGAATATTTCCAGCATGCAAAAAAGAATCCTAGGTTAATGCAGCATGTGGTCAGCCAGCATATGGCTTAAGGCTCAACATGGAAAAAAGAGGTATTTTTAAAGCATCTCATGTACCACTGTGCAAAATTTCTCTTTGCCTGAAATCCCAGGGACCCACTGCATTTCAAGGACAGAGAATACCAAACTAGATTAAACTTGGTTTGCCTTATTGAAACACAGACTTATGTTCCCATGCTCAGCAATACATCAGGTCACTTTAGTAGAGTTTTCTTGATTCCATTTCAATGTTATCCTTGCTCAGTTTTATCTAAAAAGTTCAATCACACACTGAGATATTGTGAGAAAACAACAGCAGCTTGTTTCCCCCTTCATGTTCATCTGTTTTAGGGCAAATTTAACACTTTCCCAAGGGGAAATCAGCTGTGGTGCCTGCCCTCTGGAACATCCTCCCTCCTGAGATTAGGATGGCCTTTTGGCTTTTCAGAAGGCCTTGAAGACCTGGCTTTATGCCCAGGGCTGGGGCCCCAAGTGTGCGAAGGGCCCCGTTTCATGGTTGTACTGATACTAATGGTTTTTTCAGATCTCTTGGTTGTATTTACATTTATATTTAATTTTCTGTATTGCTTTAAGTGTTTGATTGTTTTTATTATTATTAGTTGCCCAGTCACTGGTCTGAGATGAGCGGCTATATAAATGGAATTAAATAAATAAATAAATAAATAAATAAATTAACTGCAGTAACTATATCTTATATCCAAATAGTCAGGCTGAAACATGTATCTCCCTTTATTCCCATTTATGGGTAGAAAGGGCCTGATGATGATTAAGTACCATCAAGTCAGTGTCAACTCTTAGCGACAACATGGATAGACTTTCTCCAAGATGATCTGTCCTCCACCTGGTCTTTTACGTCTTTCAATGGTGCATTCATTGCTGCTGTAATCAAAGTGTAATCACCTTGTTGCTGGTGATTCTCTTTTTCACTTTCCTTCCATTCTTCCCAACATTATACATCCAGAAATACTGACATTTAAAAAAAACACATCAGTTTAAGGCATCCTGATGAGGAAAATATGCTCAGGAGCTTCACTTTTTAATAACTACCCAAGGCACTTCCAACACCTTCTTCCCTCTGAATGGAAGACAAGCAGGAGGCAAAATTTATCCAGGCTTGCAACATTGTTATAAATTATTACAGCCATAGATTACTACTGTACGTACTATGGACATACAGTAGTAATACTTCCCTAAAATACTATCTGCATTATTGATGCAATGTAGGCAGTTAAACTTCTATCATTTCCCTTGCTCAGAGTGGAGGGAAGTAGAGAGAAAATCAGCCATGACAATAGGAGACCCATTTCTTTCAATGCAATCTGCTGCTATAATATAAATTTGCAGGGCCCAAATTTAAGAAGAAAAAAAATGTGGGTGGAAGATACAGAGCAGTCTATACCCTAAATTATCCCCCCCCCCTTCACTGGGCTCCAGTGTCAGAAGTAAGTCTGGTTTCAGTTTCCATATTGGGTCTGCAAAAATCCAGATGCCCCAGCAGAAGGTAACAAAGAGTTGGCTTTCTGAATCCCTTGGTTGCCATCTAGTTGTCATCCAGATGCATGCAGTCCAAATATAGCAGGCTTAGTCAGGATAGAAAAAAACCCTGGTGATCAATGGGGCGACCAATGTCACAGCAGATTGCCCTCACATCCACAGAATAAAGGATATGTTATAGTGCACAGGTAAGCCATAGAACACAGAAAAGCCACAGCATACTCCTTGCATGCATACAGAGTTTCTCTTTCATGTTTTAAAATTCTCCTTTGCCTGGCTGAAAAGCACCCACTGAAAATGGATACTAAGGGGTGACTACACACCTTGCTCTGTTTTGGGTCTTTCCAAAGGTGTGCAGTTGATGGGAGGCTGAATTAGCCAAATTCATTTTTTAAAATCTACTTTTATTATTCAGAAAGTAAATACATATGATCACATAGAAAGGGAAAAGAAAAGGAGTAGCTATTGATATGCAAAAGAAGGGGGAAAATAATATTAGGAAACTACTTGATTACAAGTTATACTTTCCCCTCCCATTGCACCCTGACCGACAGCTGTAATCAATATATTTGTAAGCATTAGGAATTGTTTCTGATTTCCATTTCAGCCCTGATTTCTATTGCCAAATCTGTGGTTTTGATCCAGCAATACTGAATTTGAATTAGCCAAACAAATCTCAGGTTGGGGATTGGGGATAGAAAGCCTGTGGGTTACAGATGTAGTTGGCTTCTATCATCTTCCATGCTGTCTGGGGCTGATGGGAGTTGGAACCAACAATGTCTGGAGAATTCCCATCTCTCCTTCTCTTAAGATTCTTACATACTTCAATTTTAGATACAGTGGTTGCTAGCCCACCGACCGTTTCCAGCCACCCATCCCACCAGACAGCAAGTGGTCAGAGCTGCAAATAAAAGACCCTGGAAGATACGGAGAAACCTTGCCACCTTCCACCCCGATTTTGCATTTTAACACTTGTCAAGCTCCGCCTTGCACCGATGCACGTGGGGATGCTATGACTCACGGGTTATCTTAGTCTCCTGCAAGCAGATAACATCCGCTCCCAAAGAATCCAGGAGCTGCCTTAAGCCCGCCGACCCCGCTGCTGCGCGAAGCCCATTCACGTTCCAAGTCACTAGCCTCATCCCAGCCAAGCGGGGAGCCCCGAACCCAGCGACAGAAGAGAAATCCCCCCTCGAACGTCACTTCCTGCCGCCAAGTCGGCAAGCAAGAGGTGTTTTTTATAAAATGGGCGTTCACTTCCGGTTCCATTTAGAATTACTGTGTAGTGTTGATATTCGGGGCAGAAGTGGAATGAAACAGAGAGAAGCAGTTTAAAGTTGACCCTACTGTTCGAACAGATAATGCACTCATTTTTGGGGGTAGAACTATAGTAGAGGAATCAAGATTTAGAATACGTCTTACTACGTGTAATATTATTGTCTAATCAGTCATAGTTCCTGAATGTGAATTACAACCAGATTTCTTTTTAAAAAAAATTCTGACTTTCATTTTTAATGTGTTCATGGGCTTTTGGAAACCTAAGGTCTGTTGCCTATAATAAGAGAAACTTTAATCTCCTTTCACACTTGTTTCTTAATTTGGTTTGCAAACATAATGACCAAATATAGCAAAATTAATTTTACATGCTACAAAATCAGAAGCACTGGGAGCTAGAGGCTATGTTGTGCAAAGGCTGTGTGTCCTTATGGGATATGTTTAGTAGAGTCCCAGATTAGTATTCCTGGACAAAATATCTGAATGTAGTATGTATTCTATAATATTTGAAGGTACCATTGCAACTTCAAAACTTAAATGTGCAGGAGCAATTTTATAATCACTTAATTTTTTGTTTTCATACCCTGGAAAACGCAAGAGATTTGCAGTGGCAATTATTGACGCTCAGCGCCTAATAAAGTATTTCACTTTACTTTCTTTTATGCTTGTAAGTAAAAATTAAATTTCTGTATCTAAGTACAAAGTTTATCATTATACTGTCTGGCTTCTTTTTCTGCTTTTTAAATAGATTATCTGCCATAAAGTTGTGATTACATAAATAATTTTAGCAGCCACATAGATTATTTAATTAATCTTAGTGACCACATAGATAATTTTCTCCAGGATACACTGTTCCCAGCCTGGTCCTTCAGATCTTCCAATGGTGCACCCATTAAATTTAACCTATACTGTAGATAGATGATAGATAGATAGATAGATAGATAGATAGATAGATAGATAGATAGATAGATAGATAGATAGATAG